GCATGATGTGCTTTACAACAGACTCGTGTTGTTCAAGTGGATTAGACATGAATTGACAGACTTAATTAATAGAAAAACTGATTTTTGGCCTAGTTATAGTTGCATCTTGTAAGGCTCCAACCACTTAACAATATAAGGAGGCATCAAGAAACTTTTTTAGAACCAATTTTAAGTAGCTTACAGCCACTCATCATGGGGAAAGAGATAGGATTAGATTCTTCCATATTAGTACGATTTAAAAGATCACAAACATACTTGCTCTAGGTTAACATAAGAGAGCCATTTGTTAGATTTGACCTCAATGCCTAGGAAATAATCCAAGTTGCCAATATCTTTGAGAGAAAAGGCTAAGTTGAGTTTTTGAACTACACTTTGAAGAACAATTGAGTTATTACCTGTAATAATGATGTCATCTACATACACCAGAAGGTATATTACACTATTATTGTGAGAGTAAATGAACAAAGAAGGGTCACACTTGCTTGGTTGAAAATTAAGATGTAATAACATGGCTTTTAGTTTATCAAACTAGGCACGTGGTGCTTGTTTAAGGTCATAGATAACCTTGTGAAGCTTGCAAACTAAATTCTTATCAGACAATTCAAAACCTTGAGATTGGGTCATATACATTTCTTCTTCAAGATTACCGTTGAGAAATGCATTGTTGACGTCTAATTGTTGAATGGACTAGTGGTGAATCAAAGCTAAGGTGAGTATGAGACGAACAATGACAGGTTTGATTATGTGCAAGGTTGTTTCATTATAATCATATGCAAATTTTTTATGGAACCCTTTTGCGTCGAGTCTGGCCTTGTATTTGTGTGTTGTGCCATTTGGGTTTTCTTTGACACAAAAAATCCACTTGCACCCAATGGTTGTTCTATTAAGAGGTAAATGAACGAGCATCTAGGTTCTATTATGTAGAAAGGTGTTGTATTCTTCTTTCATTGCTACAAGCCAAGTGTCATTAGCTAAAGCTTGTTTAGTGCTCTTTGGTTCAACATGAGTAAGAGAGTTTTAATGATTCCTACGTTTTCCCTGGTTGCCATGGGATGTGTATTTGCTTGTGTGGAATGAATGAGTGTATTAGTGGGTGTAGTAGTTGTAAAAGGTTGTGAAATGAAAGTTGGCAGTACATTTGGTGCATCAGTGTTGTTAGATGATGTGGCTAAAGTAGAAGTTTCTGTAGGGATATTTTGTGAGGTGATTAAAATATGATCAGTTGGAGTAGAAGATGTAGCGTTGGTAACCATGACTGGAACATGAACAAGAGGTGGAAAGGCAATGGTGGGTGATGCTAAAAAGAGGTCTAGATAAGGGAACCAAGACTCATTAAAATTCGCATCTTTTGAGATATAGATTCAACCATTTGTAGCAAGGCACTTGTATCCTTTGTGGGAGTTAGAGTATCCCAAAAATATGCATTCTTGTGACTAAAGTTGAAGCTTGTTCTTATTATAGGGTCGAAGGTGAGGGAAAAGTAGAAATTGCTAAATATTCTTAAAAAGTTATAGTCTGGAGCCTAATTAAACAACCATTGGAAAGGGACATCATTCTAAATAGAGGATGATGGTAAATGATAAATAAGATAGACACTCATAAGGAAGGCATGATCCCAAAACTACATGGGAAGTTATGTTGAGCTAACAGAGACCTAGTTCCACAATATGTCTATTTTTGTTCCACCACGCCATTTTGGTGATGGATGTGTGGGCAAATGATATGATGTTGAATCCTTGAGTCAACAAGATAAGAAGAAAAGGAGTGACACTAGGAACACCAGTATAATTGGAAAATAGAGACTGTTTGAGTAGATCTGGAAACTTAGAGTTCGTCAACCCCAACTTGGCCATGTAGCAAAACTTTATGGTTGGCTTGAGATTTGACAAGACAAATATTAGGATGAAACTAAAAATATATTGAATTATCTGAATGGTTGTTGTATGAAACTAGACGACAAATAGTCATTCCCTGAATGGTTGTTGTACGAATTATTTAAAGAAGATTGTGCTTGGACGAAATTAGAAACCATTATAGCTTGTTGAGGTGCTGTAGAGTGTGGAGTCTGAGTGAGATTAACAGAAATCGAATATGTTATCACTTGTTTGTTGTATTGTTTTAGACGAGCTTCATGAGCGAGTAAGAGTGCTCTAACTTCAAGAATTCATAGACACAAGTTTGTTGCTGATTAAAGTAATGATTGACTCATAATCACGAGGTAATCCTTTGGAGTAGAACATCAAGATGTTCGCACGAGGAAATCAAATCTCCAATAGAGGAGAGCGACACAATTAAGGCTTTTATGCGAGCGAGAAACTAGGCATTGTTTTTCCTTCTAGTATGGTGTTATACAACTCAACTCGCAACTGATTCGCATGAGCCTCCATGTGAGTGTTGAAGTGCTCATGGAGTTTGTCCCATAGTTCCCTCACATAAACACAGCCAATGATGTGTGTGAGAATATTGCTTGTCAAGGTCGATTGGAGCCAGGAGAGGGGTAGCTGATCTTGTTGATCTAGAGACTGATACGTCGGGTTGACAGATCTAGTGGATCGATCCTCTTCGGAGAGAAGTTGTGGTGGAATTGTAGGATTAAAAAGATATGAGTGCAGTTTGTGACCTTTGATCGTAGGTTTAATTTGTTGTGCCAAAGGAGAAAGTTATCCTCCGGAAGTTTTTCTGTAATGGAATGTGAGAACGTGAATGAAGCAAATAGTGTAACAATTGTGGAGTGTAGCGGTGACGGTGGTGGCATAGAAGAATTAGTCATCGTGAAGAGAAAGAAGAATAGATAGAGGCCTAGGATTCTTTCGCTCCTGATACAATATTGAAAGACGAGATAAGAGAATGAATTTTGATATTATTGATTAATAATGAACATGTGAATTTCTGCCTAAGAAATATTACAGAGTCCTATTTATATTGATAGGATCAGTTGGAGTTTAGTTGTGTAACTAACAAGTCAGTTACAACAAAGTGACAAAATTACAAATGAAATGAAAATACAATTGAAATAAAGACTAAAGAGCTAATGAAATAACATGAAAATATGTAAAAAACTAATAATAGAGAAATGATATTCTCTTACAAGCTTTGATGGGTAGCTGGAATTGATTTTTGACCATGGCATGAAATTGTTTAAAAATATCAAGGGTGTGTGCTTTACATTTTAGAAGAAATATCTAGGTGAAGCAAGTATATGCATTGACGAATATTACATAATATTGATAACCATACATAGAGGAAATTGGTGCAGGACCTCATAAATCACTATATATTAATTCAAATGGTTTACTATATACTCTTTTTGATAAACTAGAAGGTAATTTGTGAGATTGGCCAAGAGAACAAGGAGCACAAAAATTAAAGTCACTTATTTATGATAGGAAAATTACAAATGCTGAAAACAAACTGCAATGCATCATTATGATGATGTCCTAGTCTAGAGTGCCACGTGGCATAGGAAATACAATGATGTGTAGCAATATTAACAGTGTGTTGTTTATTTTGTGATTGGTGTCTTGAAGTAGACGAAAGCATAGAGGGGAATTGAGACAAGCCTTCAGAGCCAAGAAATCTTTTGAGAATTACCTCTTTAGTACCCTTTGATTTCACCAAACACAAGGCAAGGTGAAATTCAAAAAATATAGTTATCCTTACAAAATTGATCGACACTTACGAGATTCTTAGTGATAGTAGGAATGTATAGAAGATTATTTGAGAGGATTTTACTCTTTAGGAAGACCTTCAACAATAACATCTAATTGTTCGAGATGACACCAAATCACTAATAGATCAAAGTGCATTGACTATCACTTTGATACGAAAAATATATTCAAAAATCAGTTTGTCCTCTTTCTGCGTTTCAGAGTACTGTGCGGAGCATTCTTGCACGTGCACGTGTATGCGCATTGAAATGGTTGTGCAGCTTGTCCCAGAGCTGCAAAGAGTGAACACATCCAATGAGGCGAGAGAGAATTGGTGTCGTGATTGGAGTTTGCAACCACGACAAGAGAAGCGAGTCTTGTTCCCATTGAAGATAGAGATGATTAACATTTGCGGCATTGCGATTATCTTAGGTAAGAAATCACAGCAGAATCTGTGGATTTACAAGAAATCAATGAAGCTGATGGCATTTGATGACTGGCTTGATTTGCTGCTTCCGTGAGAGAAAATTGTTCCTTGAGAGTTTTTCAAAGATCGAAAGCAAAAACGTAGGGAGTGCAGAAGAGGAAGAACTGTTTCGTGAGGGAGGATGGGTAAAATTTGGTTCCACCATTGTTGAGGATCACTCTGCTCCTGATACCATAATAGAAATCAAAGAGAGAGAGAGAGAGAGCTTGTAGAAGAAGCTAATATATTTCTCAACTAAATCTAGAATACTTGATAACAAGTATTTATAGGAAGATACAATACATAAAGACTTCTATGATAAGAGCCTGCACCTATGCTACTTCCAACAGAAAATAAGCTATATACAATATAGACCAAGTATTCTAACAGGTATTGCCGTATTGGATTCATTGGGTTTTACCTGAACCAATGTGCAACCTCATATCATGAATTTATGGCCCAGGAAGAAGGGGCCCTTCTGTTTAATGGAAGGGTAAGTGATGACATGATCCTTTTATTTTGTTTGTTCAAGCATTTTCTGTGGACTAGATCCTAAAGGAATTCTAACTTAGTCTATAACTTATACACAAATATCTATTTCATTTAAAGGTTGATCTGTCCAGCTCGAACCCATATACAATATAGACCAGTTGAATTGCAAAAAGAATATCTATTTTATACCATGTGCAAATTTAGAAATAGTGAGTGTTATTATTGTTTATCAATTAGATCTTAGTTGCACATTTGTGGCTGTAAGAATGTGAAATTCGGGATATTTTGGTTTCTTGTTGGAATTTGTATGTGTACTAAAACTATCTTGTATTTGAGTTTATTATTATTATTACTAAATTTAATTTTAATTTCTAATCTTTTTTACATATATCCAGTATGGTAAAGATTATGAATTTGATGCTCCGGTTAAGCTTCTGGACAAGCATCTACATTCTATGGCACAGTCTGTTGATGAGCAACTTCTTGTTGTTTCTCAGGTTTCTGCATTGATTTTCCCCCTAATCTTTTAGCTTGTCCATTATTCTTTTTATTACCAGATTGAGATGTGCTCATGCTTGAAATTTTCTATATTGTTAGGTTCTTGTGTCTGATATTAATATTGGATATGAGGAGATAGTTAACACTCAGGTAAGAGAAGATTATGTAGATATTAACATTTTCTATTAATGAAGTGTCAATTAAGTTTTGTTTATTATACGTGTCTAGGTTCTTTCTTTCAATGGTAAACCTGTGAAGAATTTGAAGAGCCTGGCCACAATGGTTGAGAGCTGTGATGATGAATTTCTAAAGTTTGATCTGGAGTACCAACAGGTTTTCTCTCATTGACGGATTCTGATTGGTTCATTCTTTCCGTCTCTCACTTTAGACAGAAATATGCCCCTAAAATATTGTATGAGAGATTTGTTCAGGCTTTTTTATGGTTATACTATACTTGTTAACCATAACAAGTTACATAACTATTATAAATAAAATGATATTATTTTAATATATCAAGATTACTATACTTATTGATCCTGTGTATTGCTTAAGTTGTGCTTTGTTGTTGTCTTAACATTTTAGGAAAATCTTATGAAAATACTCAAGAGGGAATGTTGCAAAATTTCTGATACTAGTTTTTTTTTTTATAATTTTAAGAATTAGACATTTATTATAAGTTTATCCTTTTCTGCCTATTTCAAATTAAACCTGTCCAATAAGTGAAGTTCGTACTATAAATTTATAGCTATTCCATGAATTTATAAGAATACTGATTTGAAATTTTAAATACCCTTTTCTGCAGATAGTAGTGTTAAAGACCAGTACTGCAAAGGCTGCAACCTTAGACATCCTCACCACACATTGTATACCTTCTGCAATGTCTGATGACCTGAAAACATAGAAAGTTTTGGTGAAAGTTATTTAAATTACTCCTTGTTGCCTCAGGTTATTTTTTTCTAGTATTATTTCACCTTCACTATCAAATTGTGGTACTACGGGATCTGCACCAGTCAATGAAATAAAGACTTCTTCACACACAGGAGGTTAGAGAAGCAGAGGGATTGGGAAAGAGGGAAGGAATTAGCAAAATACAATATACGCTTCGTTAAATTTATCTCATTTCAATTGAGGTGTTCTGTAATGTATTTATATTGATCACTGTCTATCCTTGTTCTCACCTTTTTAGTACAAAATTTATAACCGTGTAGAAGGATGACTGGTGGAGGGTTGGACGTATTATTTCATTGGAATAATAGATTAGAAAAATTGATAATTCACGTATTGTTTTTCTTAGATGGGAGGACTGAGGAGAGGCTTGTAAAATTTTATGCTGAGGATATTAATGCTGTTATTTTGATGTACCCTACTTTCATGGACCAGTTGATCCTTTTGCTTGCAATGATAGAACTGTTTTATGTAAGGCTTCTGGTGGTGGTTTAAAGCTTGTTTTGTACAATTTTTACGTTGTCAGTCTTTTTCTCTTGGTGAGCTTCTGTTATGCGCCTTTCTTGAGAGATGATCTTGTATTCATGTTTTTGTTTATATGAAAACATGGCATGTCATCTTTAAAAGGCTAAAACATGCATGCTTTGGTTGTGACTATAAAAGAATTGGTCGGCACATATTGTATATTCTTGTGATCAACATTTGAAATTTCAAAACTCAATTTTCGGAATATATGTTTCGGAACATTATTTGTGTAGAGGAGTCTTGAGCGTATACATGTCTGGACAACATACGACGACATGCATGTCTTATGTAACACCTCAGTTTTTATTTTATTTATTGAGGGTATTTTGGTAATTTTAATAAATGTATAGGGGTGATTTGGTAGCTTGAAACGGGCTGTTTCGGAATTAGAACGGGCAGTTCTAAATTATCAAAATGAATGTGGTTAGTAGCCCAGAACGGGCCGTTCTCAAGTTGGAATGGGCCGTTCCGGGCTATTAAAACAGCCTATAACTCTAAATTGGAACGGGCTTGGAACGGACCGTTTCTAAAATATGGCTGTTGTGAGTAATAAATGTACAGATGCCTATAAATTGAGCTCTTTGCCATTTTCAAAAGGCACATCTCTCATTTTTTGATTTCTTTTCTTCTGCTCTCTCTTCTTTCCTCTACTTTCTCCTTCAGACCGAGGGGAACCTAGTGAGGAAGATCAACCAGATCTTGTGTAGGTTCAACTTCTACATATCCAGGTACGGGAAAAAGGGGATTATTTATATGTAGAGTTACATGAGGGAATTGGGTAGACGAAGAGTCCTTAGGATTATGAGTAATTTTTATAATTATTTCTGTTTAGAGAATTATTGGTCTTATGTGATTTTGTATGTATTTAGGATTATGAATATATGATTAATTTGTAAAAATGATGCTTTGGGAGAGAGAACGAAATTATAGAAAAGTGCTTGTAAGTTAGGTTTTGGAAAAATTGGATTATTTCTGTTTGAGGAATTGATGATCCCATTAGATTCTATATGTGTTGAGGATTATAAATATATATTTAATTTGTAAGAATGATGATATGGGAGAGAACGAAATTGTAAAAAAGTGCCTGAGTTAGGTTTTGGAATAATTGGGGTTTTACTGTTTATGTTAAAATTATATTAAATTGATTATTATATTAATTTATGAATGTTATTGTTATATTAATTAATAAGAATTTATTATCGATATTTTAATGGCTTTATATTTGTCTAAACCCTTATTTTGTTGGACTTATCTGTTGTGTATGTGTTATGAAATTGTGTATGTAATATGAAATTGAGATACGAGATGAGATGTTGTATGGATATGATCATGGTTGTGACTATGGTCCCTCACACTAATGACTAGGGATGAGACGAACCTTGAGTAGTGACGCTTTAAGGACGAGCGTGCCCCTAGCATGGTGTGGGATGAGTGAGGCAATTAACACGCATCACTTATGTCACATATGGCAGCCCTGGCAAAGGGTTAATTGCAAGAGATTGTGCCGATTGTAATATGATTGTGGTTTCTCACACTAATGACTAGGGATGAGACGAACCTTGAGTAAGTGATGATACAATGACGAGTGTGCCCCTGACATGGTGTGGGATGTGTGAGGCAATTAACCCCGTATCACTTGTGTCAGATGTGGCGTGGCCTTAGCATAGTGTTAATTGTAAGATTTGTGTGGATTGTGATGGATTGGTGTAATTGTGAATTGAGATGTGAAGATGAATGATTGATAAATTATGATATATAGAAATTACTTGTGAATATTTCATTAAATAATGAGTTATGATTATGTTGTGTTTTTGCTTGTGTGCTTTTTATATAAATGTTTTCTTTTCTTACCGTACAAATTGTGGATGTTTTAGGTGAAGAAGATCTGGCTACGAGTGACATTTAGAATGTCAACAATTGAATTGTGGGTATGCTCTGATATGGTGACATCGGGACTGAGGATTTTAGGACATAGATTTTTATATGGATTTGGAATTGTAAATATTATTTTTGAAAACAATTTGTAAATTCTTGCGTTTCATTTTCTAAATTTTTATTATTGTGGTTATTGAAGAACAATTTGGAAGACTCTCATGTGAACCCTTTTACTGAAATTGAAAAATTTATTTGTAAGTTTTCATTATTACAATATATGTATTGGGATAGTAAGGGTGTCACTTTTTAGACTATTTGGGGACTAAAATTGCTAACAATACATTCTTCTATTCAACATTTTGATTTTCTTGAAAAAAATTGATTGCATATACCTTCCTTGTTTTTTTTATTTTTTTTTTATTTTTAGATATGACTCTTTCTCTAGTAAAATTTGATCGCGTATAACTTTAATTTTTGATAGATATGACTCCTTTTCTAGTATTTTTTTTTTAAAACAAAATTTATTAAATATTTTGTAAATGGCATAAATATATTTTTAGTCTCTCAAATTTTAGGTAAATTTATTTTTAGTCCCTCAAATTTAAAATTATTTTTAGTCTCTGTAATTTTAAAAATTTTATTTTAGTCCTTATATTCAAATTTTGTTAATAAATTTATCAAACATTATTGTATAAAATTTACCTATTGGTGCCTATATTAGTAAAAATATCATATTAAATCCGGTTGATATTGCATAATGTTTTAATTAGTCATTTTCAAATATGTTATTAGTGACCTGAAGGATTAAAACAAGATTTTTGAAAATTATAGAGACTAAAAATAATAGTTTTAAATTTGAGAGACCAAAAATAAATTTGTTTTAAATTTAAGAGACTAAAAATATTTTTAAACCTTTTGTAAATTTTATTTCAGAAAACCATCTTCATTTTTTCTTCTTCCTTCACTCTTTTTCCATTACCTTATCATTTCCTAACCACTCTTCATATGGTTCTTATATATATATATATATAGAGCATATCAAGTGAGAGGAAATTTATTATGAGAGATGAGAGGGTTAAAATATAACCCTTAGATTAATTTTCTCTCACTTGATTAAACCCCAAATTTTCTCTCACTTGATTAATCTAAGTGTTATATTTTAACCCTCTCATCTCTCATAATAATTCCCTCTCACTTGATATGCTCCCTATATATATATATTTTTTTTTTCTTTTTACTTTTTCTCTCCGACAATTGAGACACTTATGGATTCATTTTTACTATTTTTTTTAAATCATTTATTTTTTCACTCTTAATTTTAACACTTTTTAACCCTAAGTTGATACCCATCTTCATTTGCATAATATAATGTACAGTTTTTCAAAAGCAAAATAATAATAAAATCATTGTTAATTAATATTTATGTTATAAGCTTAATTAATTTATTAATTGGGTTTATAAAATAAATGAAGGTTAGAAAATAAAGTTATTAAGTGGGATGAGTTGTGTTATGTATTTGAACTCTTGGAGTCTAACCCAATGACCCAATTATGTTAGAATATCATAGATGGGTTTTAGTAGGCATGGCAATGGGACAGGACAGGGGCAGATTTTATGTTCCTCGCCCCTACCCCACAGATTTAAACTACTCTCGCCCCGTCCTCGATACCCGTTGGAGGTAAAATCTGGGTACCCATTCTTGTCCCCAACTGGATTTGGGTTTCCCTACCTTCTGCTCCTGGACTTTTTTTTTCTTCTATTTCTAATAAATATGAAAAAATTTAAATAAAAAAGTAAGATAATACAAATTTTTACATATAAAAGTTTCTAATTTTGGTTTTTATATATATAAGAATAATTTTTTAATTATATTATTAAGTGGGGCAGAGGATGGGGTGGGGGCGGGGGCAGGGCGGGCATTAACATCCCCATCCCCGCCCTTGTCCCCAATTTTATCAATTAGGGAAAACCTGAACCTGAACCTGGTCAACACGAGTTTTTCCCACCCAAATCGGGGCGAGTTCAGGTAAGTACCCACGAGATGGGTTAGATTTCCATGCCTAGGTTTTAGAGGTTGTGTTTTAGTTGTGTGCTTTAGGTTTTGAAGTCCAGAGATAGAGAGAGAACTTGCAGAGGAAACTTTAGAATAAAACCTTGAAGAACGACATTTGAAGGCATAAGGCCACACTATATCATAAATTATCATTTGAGGTAATAGAGGGAGTGAGATTGTCTCACATGTGAGCATATATGAAGATTGTGAGTAGTGGGATGACCTTTAAGCTTGTTTATGTTCCTATTGAAATGCTTGTGATAAAATAATATTTGTTATGATTGATTGTTGGAAATGTGATTTTGTGTTGTTAATTCGTTGATTGTTTCTGATAGAGATCTTAGGTTTACTTCTAGATTTTGGGGAAGTCTTCACCAAGCCTTGGGAACCAAGCTTAGGTTGAGTTTAACTTATCATCCTCAAACTGATGACCAGATAGAGAGAGCCATCCAATGCTTAAAGGACTTGCTCAGAGCATATGTATTAGAATAAGAGGGTAGTTGAAGTCGCTTCATGCCATTGAATTTACCTACAATATTAGCTACCATTCTAGTATTGGGATGATAGTTTTTGAAGCCTTGTACATGAAGAGATGTATAACACCTCCTCGTGCTAGTACCTTATGTAGTGTAATAGACTACGAAAAAGGTCAAGGTGATGCAAGATAGGATAAAAGCATCTTAGAGTAGCCAAAAAAACTTATGTCGATAAGAGAATGAAGAGCTTAGAGTTTCAAGAGGGCAGTCATGTATTCTTAAGAGTTAACCTGTGAACTAGGGTTAGTAGAATTTGAAGTCTAGAAATCTTACCCTTTATTTCGTTAGTATGTATCAAATCCTTAAGAGAGTCAGTGAAGTAGCTTACCAAGTTGCTTCACCTCTGCACTAGTCAAACCTTCATAATATCGTCCATGTGTCTCAACTCCATATGTTTATGATACTTCGTATGTGATAGAGTGGTCAAAGATAATTTGATAGTCCAAACCTTATCGGTTAGAATTGAATACCAAATGATTAAATAGG